TATATATATATATATACTGTACACACAGGTGTATATAGAATATATATTATGTACATGTGTGTATGTGTGTGACACTCAAAATTGATAATGATAATAAAAGAGTGGCATGAAGGCTGAGATGATAAAAAGTTTTATCCTTTGCTCTGTGTCCATTTGTACTAAATTTAAGAGTAATACATATTTATGTATTACTAATTTTCTGTAGGTACACTACATTTAAATATCAGTATGTAAATGGACATTATACAATTTCACGTTAAAACCCTAGATTGTTGGTGTTAAATTGTATAATGTACAGTGCAATGCTCGGTGAGATGTGGTGAGATACAGATTCCCATTCCTGGTAGACCTTTTTTAGAGATTAGTTTGGCAGTATACATGCAAAGCCAAAAAGAGTATTACTTCTCAGTCCGTACCAGATAAACAATCAGAGATTCATTTACATTGTAATTTATAATATTGTAAAGATGTTAACCAAAAAATACCCAGTGTAGGAGAATAGTTAAACAAATTATGGGGTACTCATAGTCTAAAAAAGTTGTACAGTCTTAAAATTGGTGCTTTTAGCAAATGTTTGATGAGGTAGGAAAACGCTCAAATTGTGTTATTCAGTGAAAACGGCACGATTCTAGCCTTTTCTCTGTGTGCATAACTGAAGAAAAAATTGAAGACATACACTAATATCATCTTTTCTTTTTTTGCTTTCTCCTACTTTCCAAGTCTGTTAAAGTAAGCAATATTTTGTAATAAAACAAGATTAGTGAATGTTGTGAAAAATTATGTATCCAAATAAAACAATATAATGTTTGAAAGTATATACAAATGTAAGTCTTATTTATACATGTATACATATAAAATATTTTTTTCAAACTTAATTCTAATATGCTTTTTAACATAAAAAATATTTTACTTTGAGACTTCTTATAAACATTTACATAAACCAAATGAGTAATTTGTTTATACTTGAAGGTATGTTTTCCCAATAATGAAAATACAAAGTCCTCTCTCAGAACCTTGGTGCCATTATCCTTGAGAAATAGTAATTACAAGGTATCTAGGTAACCTTGCTGTCAGGAAAACAATGTGTGTACTTTTCAGCCTGTGATAAGGCCAAAAGAATCATTTCTATCTGTGTGTAGATTACATTGTTGACATTTGAACAATGTGGGGGTTTGGGGAGCAGTTGAAAATCCATATATAACTTTTGACTCTCCCCAAACTTAACTACTAATAGACTAGCTACTGACCGGAAGCCTTGCTGATAACAGTCAGTTGACACATATTTTGTGTGTTACATGTATTATATACTATATTCTTACAGAAAAGCTAGAGAAGAAATGTTTTTTCAAATTGTGAATCTCAAAAAAGTTGTCTAATGTATTTCTTGAAAAAATTTTCAAAGAAGTGGACCTGTGCACTTCAAATCCTTGTTGGTCAAGGGTCAGCTGTACTAGTAATAGTGTTCTGTGCCTTATGCAATGCTAGTTAATATTGTCAAATGCTTATCCAAGTCTTCTTTTTCTAAACTCCATTTAAAACCATTTTTGGAACAATACGGCTGGTTTCAGCTTGAGTGTGAATATTAATCTTCTCTGGGTTCTTAAGGGAGACATAAAAAACTTGTTAGCTTCATTTCTAATACTATATTCTTACAGAAAAGCTAGAGAAGAAATGTTTTTTCAAATTGTGAATCTCAAAAAAGTTGTCTAATGTATTTCTTGAAAAAATTTTCAAAGAAGTGGACCTGTGCACTTCAAATCCTTGTTGGTCAAGGGTCAGCTGTACTAGTAATAGTGTTCTGTGCCTTATGCAATGCTAGTTAATATTGTCAAATGCTTATCCAAGTCTTCTTTTTCTAAACTCCATTTAAAACCATTTTTGGAACAATACGGCTGGTTTCAGCTTGAGTGTGAATATTAATCTTCTCTGGGTTCTTAAGGGAGACATAAAAAACTTGTTAGCTTCATTTCTAATACATTTATTAAGTATTATCTGGGGCAAAACACACCTGTAGATTTATTATGCATCAATATTATGATATCAATATGAATAAGTATTTATATTTATCATATGTTGATTCTCTTAGCTTCCATCCCCTAATTCTGGGATTTGTCAATGTTTTCTGAGTTTGCCTATAAATTCTGGGAGCTTTTTCCTCATCTGAAGCCTGTAATACCTTCTTTGTTCATTTAATCTTTCAGTAAATATTTATTGAGTGGCTACTGGGTACCAGTAACTAAAGTCACAAAAATGAGTAAGATGCAGTCCCTTCCTTATTACTAATTTTGCTGAGTTTTTTGTTTTATAAGTTCTCTAAGTTAGGATAGATAAATGGAAGCTCGGTTTGGGTGAGGGAAGAAAAAGCATGCTGAATATGGTAGACTTCAAAAAGAAGTACAAATAAATAAGAGTAAGAGTATCATATGATAAGCAACATTTAGGAATTTTATTTTTTTAAGAAAGGAAGGGTGGGGGTAATAATTAGTACTATTCAGAACATGTTAAACTGGAGCAGTTTTCTTTTCATGTCCAAGTACAGTCATCTGGCAGGTAATGGGTCTAGGACTCAGGAGAGGTGTGATCCAGAGATAGAGATTTAGCAGTCATTAGTATATAGATGGTAAATCAAATTACGGGTGTGGCTTTCAACCTCACTCTGAATCGACTACCTGTACCTTCTTTAGGATAGGGAAATGAGATCAGCATCTATCTTTATAATTAAGGTAGATTTCCTAGTGTTACTAGTAATTGAAGACAAATTTTTGCAACAAGATACCTGCCTGAAAATGATTGCTGCCTCAATGAATTAAATAAAAATGGTTGTGCAAAAGAGAAACAGTCATTCTCATTTATAGTCTTACCATTCTTTGTTCAAAATCTTTATTTTATCAATTTAGGAAAGGCAAATGCCTTTTAGAAGATTCTACATTTCATAGTACAATTCAGATCTCTTACCTTTTGTCATCAGTCTAGGTAAATATTTAAATAAATGGAATAATTTAATACCACTATTAGAATACGCATAATAGTATAATTGTTCCATCTGCCTTTCTTCACTAGACTGTGAGCTTCTTATATTAATCTTTGTACTTGTAGAATCTTTGTACCTCTGTACCCTCGCATTTAAAATGTGATCAATAAATGGTGAATGAATTGCTAGAAAGGAGTGTTTGACAACTTTGTAAAACTACAAACAAAATAGAACCCAGGAACATAGGAGTGAATGAAAAGCGATTAATATTTTAGAAAGCATCTCAGTCCTTTCTGAGGAGTTACAGATCTTTTAAGTACTTTAGCTGATTGGCGGGAAGAATATTTTAAGATTTTATTATCTTTCAAAAATTTCATAACTTTCTCCATGATATGTATATTTTGTTTAAAACAGTATTTGAAGTTAAAAATACTCTATAGAATCCTGGTTTGTAATTTTGAATTGTATTTAACATTATTTCAGTAAGAAGATTATCTTAGATAATGAAATATCCGTTAAGTTGTTGAAAATTGCTTCAGTAACTGTCAAATAGAAAAATACCATTGGTTAGTTGGTTTCTCTCTACAACACATTTATTTTTAAAACTAAAAATTTGCCTTTGTGTTAATATTCCCAATAATGTATTTAGATATGTCAAGTCTCAGGAAGCAGTGAAGATTGTTTCTTGTCATTTCAGAAAGTAGAAAATCCTGATGAACTGGCTGAACTTATAAATATGAATCTTGCACAACTTTGTTCACTTCTAATGGCTTTATGGGGACAGTTTCTGGAGGTCATAACACTACATGAAGAACTAAGACTGTTATTAGCACAAGAACACCATGCTTTGAGGGTAAGTTAAAGAAAAGTGATGGTAGAGCATTTAAATGAGTATTACTATCTTTAGAGTATCTTCAGAATTTGTTATGAATAAAAAGCCTGGTTTTTACCTAAAATGTTAATAATCAGAAAAGGAACACATAATAATCCTTGTGTTTTTGTTTCATTTTTTAAATTAATAGGTGAAGTGTTTACCTGTATTTTTCTATCTCAGTTATAATTCCTGCTAGTAAGGAAAACCACCTAAATGTAAATATAAATAAAACAAAAATATATGATACAGGATACCCCCTGGAACCCAAGAACAAGAATTATAGGCAGGTCTCATGAGGCACAGAATCAGGAACTAGAGAGTCGTCTCAGACTAATGTGGAGTCTCGCTCTCCAACTTTTCCTCCGTTTCTCTCTCCTTCCTTCGCCTCACTTCCTGGGATGTTTACTATGAACCTGGAAGGCTGAGGGGAATGGTCTAGACATACATGTTTGCTGGAGGCTTAGTATGGGCATTATTTAGAAATTTTTGTATAATCTTATTGTGTAGCACGTCAAGAGGCTTTGAGATGCTAAACATCTGACTACCTTTCCAGTCTTAGCTCCTTTTGTACTCTAAACACTAATTTTCCTGACTTGCTAGTACTTCCTCAAAAACATCATGTTTGTTTTCTTTTCACCTTTTCCTTGTTTTTTTCTTAATTATAAAATATATAAACAAAGTAAGAAAAATCACAAAACATGCACATTTAAATAAATAATTAAAAACATACACTCTTTAACAATCACCCAGATCAAGAAATAGAAAATTGTCAACACCACAGAAATCCTCTGTGTGTTTTTTTCCAATTTCTATTCCCTCCCTGATACTTAGAAGTAATCACCATCCTGTCCTTTTTGGTGCTGAGTTCCTTCTCTCTGACTTTTACCACCTATGTCTGCACACAAAATAAAAGGAGTTTCATCCTGTTAATGTTATTCAGCCTATGTTATTGAAATCTGTGTAAGGGAAATCATACAGTGTGTTTTCCTTTGTATCTTGCTTCTTTCACTTTTGATTTTGTTTGTGAGAGTAATCCATTTTTGTTCATTTTCAATGCTGTGTATTTCATTTGAATATATGCACAACTTGCTTATCCATTCTACTATTGGTGAACATTTGGATTACTTCTGACTTGTAGCTACTACGAACTAAGCTTCTGTGAACAATCTTGAACATATTTCCTGGCGTATCAGTTTCTCCAAGTATTTACCATGAGGGAAATTGCTGTCATAGGAGATGCGTAACTTCAGTTTTACTAGTTAATGCCACACTGCTTTCCAAAGGGGTGCCAATTTTCACTCCTCCCAGCGCTGTGTGAGGGTGTTTGTTACTCCACATACTCCCCAACTCTTGATGTTGGCAGACTTTTACAATTCTGAGTATCTGATGGATGTAAAATGGTATACCATTTTGTGTTTAATTTGCATTTTTCTCGTGACTTGTGCAATTGAGTACTATTTTGTATGATTATTAGTTATATAGATTTCCTCTCTGTGAAGTGCCTGTTCAAATTGTTTGCCCTTTTTTCTGTAGGATTACCATTATTTTTCTTGATTTGTAATAGTTTTCTATGTATTCTAAATACTGATTCTTTACTATATGTGTTATAAATAAATCTCTCATTTCATGGTTTGTTTTTTCACTGTCTTTGAACTGTCTTTTGATGAATTAGAGGTCTTATTATTAGTGTTAGGTTGAACAGAAGAGAAAGGCCAGACATAGATATATTCATATTTATACATAAAATATATAGATCAGCAAGGCAAAAGTGAGATTTTCAGTAAATTGTGTTGGAACAATTGTGTATCCATATGTGGAAAATATTATATAAAGTTCAGTTCCAGGTGGGTTGAAGACAAACATGAAAGGCAAAATCATAAAGCTTATGAAATGTCATAGAGAACTTACAAAAGAATTACAAAAACAGTATGAAATACTGCCATATAACTTTCATCAGAATCTCACAAATTACCATTTTGGCACATTTGCTTTATCATTCCTTTTTTTTGTAGATAGGTACATATGTAAATATATACATACATACTTTTTTTCCAGGACCACTTGATAGTTATAGATATGCTCTGCTAAATACTTGAGGGTATATTGAGTAAGAACAAAGTTAGTCTCTTAATCACAGTATAACCATCAACTTTTCAAAATATAATGTTGATATAATACTGATATCTAATGTATAATCCATGTTTAAATTCGATCAGTTGTTCCTAATAATGTCCTGTGTGACAGCCATTCTCCTTTTCCAGGATCAAATTCTGTATTTGTTGACAACTGCATTGTATTCAGTTGTCATGTCCCTTTCAATTCTTTAGACTCATTTAATCTGGAATAAATAGTTTCCTGTGTTTTCTTTATCTTTCATGAATTTAACTTTTCCAAGAGTATGGGTAGTAGTTTTATAGGCCATTCTACAATTTGAGTTTGTATTATGTTTCCTCATGATTAGATTCAGGTAATACAGTATTAGTGGCAATACTGCATTTTGCTTATTAATCCATTTTGGTAAATAATATTTTCTGGGAGCTTATTCTAAATTTATTGATTTATTAGCATCAAATAATTCATAGTATCATTTAGTTACCTTTTTATTTTTTTTTAACAATTTTGTTTATTTTTTATTAAAATATAGTTGATATGCAATATAATATTGATTTCAGGCATACAACGTAGTGATTAAACAACTATCTACATTAGGAAATGCTCACCACAATAAATGTAGTTACCATCTGTCAACATACAGAAACATCACAGTGATGCTCACAGTGATGCGGACTGTACTCCCCGTGCTGTGCTTCTTTGCTACTCTTTTTAACACGTGCAGTATTGGTGGTGTTCTCCTACTTCATTCTTGATTCTAGTTACTTGTGCCTTCATTCTTTTTTTCATCACTGTTCCTACCAGAAGTTTGCCATTTTATTAGTTTTATCAAAGAATCAGTTTCTGATGTTAATTGTACGTTGTTTTTTGATTCATTTGCTTTGCTTTTTACTTTAGTCTTTTCGTCTGCTTTCTGTACATTTATTTTACTGTTTTTTTCAACTTCTGTAAGTAGATGCTTAGTTTCTTAATTGTAGAATTTTTTCTTTTCTATTCTAGACATTTATGTTTGTAAGTTTCTAAGTAAAGCTTTAGCTGCATTCCACAAGTTTTGATACATTGTTTTTTATCCTTCCATTCTCAGTGTTTTCCAATCTTTGTGAGCAATTCGTTCTTTAATTCAGCATTATTTAGAAGAAGTTTTTTTCCCATTTACATATAAAATGGCTTTTACAGTACATCTGTTCCTACGTTTTCTGTATATAAACAGAACCAATATCCTAGTCAATAACAGGACACCATAAAAAATAATTTATACACATGCCATCCCTAAATCCCCAAGCAGGAACTCTTGGCAGCCTCCTGTAACAGTTTGTTTATGAGCCTACCATCTATGGCATAGAAATCTTTGACTTAAAGCAACCCATGTAAACAACACTATTATAAAGTATATATTGGCTATATTCTTATATTTAGCTGTTTTCACTTTTCCCCTGCTCAGAAGTCCAAGAAATTAAGTGCCTGCCCATAGTCAGTCTTTTTCTGAAATAAAAGACCAGAGACAGTTTTTATCCACGCGTTGCCATATTTTGTATCAAGTTACCCTGTAATCCTAAAGTAGAGCTTGGCACTTAGCCCAAAGGCAGTCCTCTACAGTGTGTACATGAGGAAGACTAGTAATTTTTGAAGGGACCTACTGCAAAATCTCTGCTGGTTTGGTCATTTTCTATTAGAAGAATGACTGGCTAAAGTATTCAAATTGTTTCTCAAGTGACTTAAACATGGGACACACAAGAAGATACCCACAGTAAGTAAGCAACGGCAGAAACCAAGAGGGAGAAGGTCAGAGGCAAAAGTCTTGAGGTGGTAGAAGCCATGAGCCAACCAGTTACCATAAGGTAGGGATGAAAGTAAGAAAGCTTGAAAGCAAAGCAGAGAGTCAGAGATAGAGGGATATGAAAATGGAGAAATGACTGGAAAAGGGAACAACACACGCTTGTTTCTGAAACATCAGATACTAGTTGGAATAGTAGTGTCTTTGTTATTCCTAAATGGCAATGAACAGCATTCCAATTTCATAGAACTGGCTGCTTGCTGTGGAAGTCAGGTCCCTGGATGTACTTTACTGCATATTGTTATTAAAAATCCCACACAGCCTCAGGTAACCTGAACATATCTCTCTCTTGTTAACTAAAAAGCCTTCAAATACCGAAGTATGTTCTTTATGTTCAAATATATTAACTAGTCTATTTCCAAATACACTAATTTCCTAGTTGTCCTTTTGTTACTGATTTCTAGCTTATCTTCATTGTTAGTAAACGATCTGTGTGATTTCATTACTTTAATATTCTTTGAGTCTTGCTTGCTTTACTTTAGCAGGAATGTGTATTCCTCAGGTTGCTGGCTTAAGTGTTATAAGTACGTCTGCTGGGTTAAGTTTACAAATCATTTTGTTCACAGTTTTCATATTTTTGATGAGTTTATAGCTGCTAGTGCTATCAACTACCAAGTAAAGTATGTTAAAATCTCCCATTACAATTACGAATTTGTTCTTGTCTTTTGTTACTAGGTAAATGCAGAGATGAAATTTAAACCCAGCAGTATGGCTCAATAGTCTGTTTTTTTCATCGCTTAATAGGTTGCCTCTTAAAATAGGGAAAAGAATGATAGCAATGATCAGAAGCAACCTTATAGCATAATATTTTATTGGGATGACCCCCAGGGTGAAATAGGAACAAGAAGGTAGACTTCAATAGAGAACAGCTGGTGAACATAATCTTGAAAAAAGGGATAGGGGGCAAAAAAGGAGGCCAAGACAAAAATCAGATTTATGGAAAACAAAAATGCCAGAAAATAAACTGTGAAATTTTACTTAGAGATTCCCTTTTTTCACCCCACTCCAGATACCAGGATAGGGCCTATTTAAC